AATACAGATATAAAAGGGAAGTAATGTGCTTTTGTGAAGTGATTCTTTTCTTTGGACCAAAATATGCCAAATTCCCTTCTTTAAAATGTATGTATTCCTCTAAATGCTAGTTATTTGGAAAATGTTTGTTTGCATAAGAAGGGTGGTTAAAAAAGGAATCCCAGACAATTCCGCTTCCATATTATTTTCACAACCCGGACAATTTCCCCTCCCGTTATTTTAATGGGGCAGACATTTCCCCTCCGGTAAATTTTACAGGGCTGACAATTCCCCTCCTGTTATTTTGGCAGAGCGGACAATTCCCCTCCCATATTTTGATAGAGCGGACAATTCCTCTCTTTTTTTTTACAGAGTGGAGTGTGACATTATACGCCGATGTGTATGAAAAAAATCTTTTTTACTAAGTTTTTACTCTTAACAACAAACTGTTAGAGAGCGGAACTTTTAACAATCATTATTTCACAAAGGTGACATTATACCATCTTTAATGATTGCTGCCGCTGTGTAAGATAAACAAACTGTCTATAAAAATAAAAAATCTTTAATTATTGCCCCTCTTAATTAAATGTGTCTTTGATTGCAAAACCAATCATTTACAATTATTATCAATTATTGTTTGTTAAAGCATATCACAATCATTGTTTTGTAAATAATGCACTTAAAGTCACTTACTCTTTTATAATGAGAGAGGAATTGTCCAGGTGGTTAAAAGAACAGGAGGGCAAAATGCCCACCTTTAAAAAAATAACTGGAGGGAAAATGTTTGGGTTGTGAAAAAAACATTCAAATTTACTTGGAGGGGAATCGTCGGGGTGAGGAATTGTAAAAGATTAAGAAATTTTACAGTTTACAAAATGTGTTAAACTTAACAAAGATTCAAAGCAAAAGTTTCAAATTGTTCCTACTTTTTATCAAACAGTGGTGCCTCGGAGTTTGAAATATGTTTCTAATGGTGAAGTGACTTCTGCCTACCTGTAATATACTCTTTACCCTTTTAAATATACTGTATGTTACAAATTAAGACATGCAGAATGTCAATAACTTCATGTAGCATGTAGCTTTTGTATAGTAAATTATAAACAGGAAGTTCAAAATTACTTCTCTTGAAATGTATTGAAGGAATTGGTCATTTAAAAGTGTCAAAATCTGACCAACAATGCAACACTATTTGATTACATTAAGTACACAATGACCAGGGACAATTGATCCCAGGTGACCAATCTTAATTGACAGACTAAAAGATCACTTTACATATTGTTAAGGTGCTTGTCACCAATCCATTAGGTAAACGGAAATTGTTTATTCAATATCAAAGCAAACTCTTGATCTATGTATTATAATGGTATCAATGAAAAATATTACAATAGAAATATTATAACACTGCCATCAATTATGTATCAATTTTCTTCAAAAAGAATTTTTAATTTCTTATCCATCTATGTTGACTTGTTAATTATTAAGCATTTAATCTTTTTTTACAGAATTAATAGAAGTAGGAGTAAAATTTGATGTCTGCCATTCACATGTAGTGTTTCACATTCATTTAGCACTCATGAATAAAGAGGAAAGACAAATATACGGTACTTAGTCAAAAGGTTAGTTTTTGTTTTTACTTTTTTTCTATCAAAAATTTATTGTATGTTAAAAGATGTTTTTATTGTAGTTTTTTTACAGCCTTTTTTCAGGTTTTAAGCCACTCTTTGTAAATAATTATAATAACACAAATTTTGTCATATTGTCAGTTCAAATGGTGCAGCTGCCTATAAGCTGAATATACATATGCATACACTTAAAAAGTGGATATAATTTTAAAAAAGAATAATAAAAATGTGTTAAATGAATGAAAAATCTAAGGTTAAAGAAAAAACAGAATCATTTCTTTTAATTCATAAAAATTATAATAGTCGCTACACAACAATGCCATTTATTTTTAATAAAATATAAGAATAGATACATATAGACTCCATTTGTAAAATGATTTTCTCCTTTAGTAGCGAGTCTTGCACTTACAATGAGATGATCAGAGACTAACTACTGAACTATTGGCTGACATTAGTTAGATGAACATCAGAGCTCACAATGTCAGGCATGTCTTCTATAGATGTTGCTTGGTATTTCATTCACCATAAATGTTTGCAGTAAAATGTCACCATGTAAGGACTGTGAGTTTGAACCCATAGTCACTGGAGTGAACACTCATGGGATCACTTAGGTAGACCGGTTAGATTTAAAACCATGATGTTGATTACGTCTGGAACCTTGAACATGCCTTGCAAAATGAATGAGCCAGGATTCCTCTATGTGTTTCTTTGTAGCATGAGAGATGGCAGTTCTTGTGATTGATGGTGGTCACACTAGATATTGATGTGTGCTTCATTTTCAATGCTTGACTCCTTAACTTTTTCAGTTAAGATAGAATAGTAACGCAGCAAATTTATGAAATGACACTGACACATATCAATGGTAATATTATATAGGTAATTCTTAAGCCAGGGATCATATATTTAAAAGTAGCAAAACTTATTTTCATCAGTATAGTTTAAGTTATTTAGCTGTCATGAGTGCTGACAATATCTTGTGAAATCAATATTTAATATCTTGCTATATTTAGCTATAATCATATTTTTGCTTGATTTATTAGTATCAATAACATGGTGAGGTAGTTTCTCTTTAACACAAAATTCGATTTAAGATTTTTAGGTACTTGTTACAATATCATCTACAAATTTCACACCTTAGATTCTGAAGATATTTTAGGTTATTACACTGTGGATCTGATTTATATCTGAAAATGTTCATGGTTAAATCAATAATAAAAAAAGCGTCAAAGGATAGATTTGTTTAAGGTTTCAGCTAAAAATAACTGACAGATATAATATTTCAGAATTTTGTTTGGTGAGTGTTCAGTGTGTGTGTGGAAGATTAACAAAAAAAGACAATGGAGGGCCATCATTTTAACTGTCTGTCTTAACCTGTCCTCTTATTCATTGACTAACAATAGTGTTTCTTGTCCCTTATTTTCCTCAGGGGATAGTTTATGTGGAAATAGGAAAGGATTGTACCCCCTTTGTTTATTGGCCATTTTGTGGTAGTTATCATGTTTTTTCTTGAGCTTAATAAATGCCCCAGTTTGTAGCTTGACAATACAAAGTTTATGGAGAGCTGTCCTACCCAGCCTGGCCTGATTTCAAACCAAAGTTTTTGTGCAGTGAAATATTTTTACTATAACATTTAATTCTTAAGATTTCAACGTCAGACTTCAGATATATGTTCCTTATCATCTGTTCCTTATCACCAACAACATCATATGTGACAAGGTTTTGAACTTCAGCATGAATACTTTTAAAAGTATTACTCCCTTGAACTCAGAATTTATATAAAAAAAATTATTTTACTATAACTTCTTCATTTCTTAAGATAACTACTTCACACTTTTAATATTTGTTACTAATCATCACCCACCATATGTGTGATTCATAAATCTAGCATGATTATTTCTAGAATTATTCCCCGCTTGAACTTTTTCTAATTACATGTATATCATAATTATATGACAAGGTTCATATCGCTATTAGTCTATATCATCAACATTGTCATAATTACCTTCCCCTTAATGAACTATTTCATGGGTTATTTCCTCTTTGAATTTATAATTTTACTTTAAAAACTTTATATACTTCTGGCCCTTATCATTATTGACAAGCCGGTTTGAGGTGTATGTGTGTCCGTGCGTGCATCCGTCCAGATTTGTCTGGTCTATATCTTGCTCATTCTTTGAAGGATTACAAAATAATTTGGTTCAAAAGAACCATAACCATACATTACTTATTTTTTCAATTATCTCCCTGTATAATATTTAATAATGCTCATTCAGAAAATAACTTGAAAAATATTGAAGGCATTAAATTAAAACTTTACACATCAAGATTAACAAGAGGAAGTGCAGTGTCAAAGAACCATAACTCTGCTTGCTTAATTTCTTTTTTTATAATTTCCCTTTATGATACATATTTTTCAAAAATGTTATTAATATCTTATTGAAACTTCGTAATGAAACTAGTCAGAGGAAGTGCAGTGTTATACTTTGATTTTGAATTATCTCCCTTTATAATTATGCTTGTCAGGATAGTAACTTGAAATGTTACACAATGATAGAAACCAAAGAGAGGATTTGTGTTGTCTAAATTGGACTAATATTTATAATGCTACTTTGCTTGATTTTTGAATTACCTCCCTTTGTTATACTTAATATAGCTAGTTACACTTTTGGTTATCATTCATAACTTATATTCATTGACCAAGTAGAAGCAAGCCTTGGATGGTCAAGTTGGGTCAAGGTCACTCTTGCTTCAATATCATTTGCATTTTCCTGTTCAATGATTTTTGTCAGAGCTTTGGCCCTTTAATGATTTTTATTTTCCAAGTTTGTCTTATACCACATATGCATTTTAAATTAAACTTTACTGGATTGATCAGTAACTCAAGTTCATACAGGTTTTTGGTATTTTGATATCAATATCCATCTCCTTTATGTCCCTAGATCAGATTTTCATTTTCATGTTACAGTTGATTCATTTCACTGTAAACATGATAATATTATATTATTTTCAGTGAATGTTTTTTTGTAACAAGCGTACACAGGTAGCATTCTTCTTTCTGTTTGCATGTTTATTGCATTTTTTACTTTTAGAAAAATTATGCAAATTGATGAAAATTGATGACTTCTACATCCAAACATGTGGAATTTGATACATTTGCTATAGCTATGTTCATGAGTATCAGGTATATTTTCTGTCTCAAATATCAAATTAACACTGGCTATCTATATCATAGATTAGGTGATGTGATGGTTAGTTGTCATTTAAGATGACTTGATGTCACAGTGTATTTTAGTGGTATGACCCCTACAGGTATCAATATAATTATAGCCATGTTTAGCTATACCCGTCTTTATTGTAGCCTGTGCGCGTTATCTTTTGAAGAGATCAATTTACACTTGCCTTCATTTTGTATTCAAGGTAGCTGCGTCATTAAATTCAAAACTCTCCACTACTTCTTACTGTACATTTATGGGTATGAACAAACTGGATGTTTGAGTATTGAAATTAATATCATAATTTTATGTCTTAAGATATAATACTCAACTAGTGTTTAAACTAAGTGTAAATTAAACTCTGGTTGCTGCTACACTACTGGACTTTTAAACATTTTTTTACAAAAATAAAACATGTCAAAAAGATAACAGGTTTATGGGAATTTTGAAATATTTCTCTTTCACATATAGTGTCACATAGTCGCTCATTGAAATACACTTTCCAATATTGTTATCAGATTTGATATTTTATTCTAAAATTTGGATATAGATTTGTGTGGATTAAAAAGTTGGAGTGGCTATTAAATTGGAATTTAATTAGAAAAATACTTGTTTCTGGATTTAATATAGGTGTTTTGTTCTACTGTTAGGAACTTTTATGAAATATATAAGAAAAGTGAGACTATTTGAAAGAAGAGATTCTAGAATAGCTGTCTATATGGTAAGTAGACTTGATTAGGGGGAAAAGAAGAGTTTTTTAGATTTTTGTGTAAGTGCATTCAGATAATTGATGATATATAAAACTGTGTTGAAATTATAACTCATGTACTATTATTAAACTGCTATTTTTCAGGCATTAAATTTACTGTGATTTGCTTAAAAATAAAAAAGATAGTGATTAATTTATAAGAGTTATATATATGTATGTTGTTATTTAAGATGAACTCTTTGTTTTTTTTGTTAATCAGTGAGAAGTACATATCCCCCTAAGATTAGATTTTTAAATACTTGTAAATAACCTTTCTTCTTATTGCTAAATGTATCTTCCAATAAAATACATTTATTTCCTTAACTCTAACACCATTTACAGGGACGGATTTTTGTTTGTTCATATACAAATGTGAATAAGAAAAACATTTTTCATCTTATTAACACTTAATGATGACTTTTCTAAACCATCATGTAGTTTCATTCCAGCTTGCACACCTATAGTACTGTCTTTAACCAGACTGTAAGGTGTACAGTAAAGCTTAGCATTTTGATGTTGAAATTCCTTAAATTAACAATAGACAGTCATCTAACACAATCCTTGTTGATTTTGTTTTGCTGACTTGTTGTGCTTTTTTCCTTAGCAGTTATAGCGTATGATTGTTTGCTGGTTAGCTTGTCTTTATGCTGGTACCTTAGACTTTCCATTTTCTCTGCATTTTCCCATAATTATTGCATCATTTTATATTTGGACTCAATATAAATAGTGGTCTGTTAATTTAGATTTGTGGTCATAAGGTTATACTGTAGTTTTGTAGTGCTCCCATGTGTCATCTGGTAGTTAAATCAGATAAGTTATCATAGTGTTTGAAATCTTACCTTTTAAAACATCATATTATTGAGGTGAGATGAGGTACAGTAAATGATGAATGAAAGAATGTTGGTAATTATAGACCTGTTGATAAGTGTCTGTCGCCCCAGTCATCTGACTGGGCAGGTGAAACCCTGAACAAAGACTCCCGCCTTGCCTTGTGGTCATCTTTATTGACTGCCAGTTTGTGCTTTATTTAGTTGTCACTAAGTTAACCAGTTTTTAACCCAACTTTAACATACCATGAACAAAATCCCTATGAGGATTTGCGCCTATTTATAATGAATGAACACTTATTTGGAACACATAAATTGATGTATATTCAACTTGAAAAGACGTTTTATTAAGAGATAATAAGAAGAAAATTTTCAGATGAATAGATCTAATTATATCGGATAGAGTGTCATCATCTATACTTAAAGTGAATTTTCTATAATGATGACAGATAATAAGCTGTTATTATATCAAAATTGTTGATATCAAATGCATTCTTTCTATTATAGATCAGCACTTAACTTGAAATTTAAGAGGTGTCTTTAAAAGTAGATTTTGAAAAAAAAAGTCATAAATATTGAATACAAATCTTTTAAAAAGAGCATTATTTAATACTCCCTTTCTTCTTTTTTTTCACAGAAAAAGTTTTATTTTTTTATATAATAGATGTAGTTGTAAGAACTATTGAAGAAATTTATTGATATTAATAAATAGAGGATATTCAAGTTTTTTCTATAAATACATGATTTATTTTCATCGAGTGGTATGAAAATAAATATTTCATGAGTGGCGGTTGCCACAAGTGAAATATGGTTATTTTTATGCCACAAGATGAAACTTAATAATGTATTTATAGAAAAAACTTGAATTTTCTGTTTATTATATACATTTTTCTCTTTTTTGACATTAAAATTTGAAAGACTTTCCCTTAAATTTTGTTTACTGGCAGAATTTAAAAGAAAGTAGTCCGGCAAGACACCAGTGAAAATACGGAAAATATGTTTCACTGCAGTAAAAAATAAATCTTTACAGTGAAAATACGGAAAATGAAAATACGCATTTTATTTCATCTATATTTCTCAATATTTCATTTATTAGTATATAATGAATTAAAGGCACACAAAATGACATTCATTGTTTTGTTTTATTTGTAAGTTATTTTGATTAATTATTTGGCTTCATCTTGTTTACTGACTGGTGTATATTATCAAAGTAATAGGTTGTACAGTTATGTGTATGTGTAAATAATTGCCAAAAGTATTGTATCTTTAATATTAAGTTGATATTACAATAAGACCTGAATTAATACATCCAAGTAACATTTTCTTTTAATTATTTTGTGAAATAGTATCTATCTCTTTGAATTTTTATTAAGTCTTTAATTTAGCCACTGTTGCAATTTGTTATTAGTCTACTATTTTAATGGATCTATTTGAGAGTATTTTATTTAGTCACACTTGCATCTGTAATCAGAATTGCCATTGATTAACTATAGTGATGGTGAATTACCATGAAAACACAGCAAAACACAGACAGATATTGGATTTTCTCAGGTGAGAGTACTCCAGTCACATAGTAAACCATATTGATTTGAGCACTCTGTATTGAGTACTAACATAAAGGGTTATCAATTTATAACAAGTTATTTGATTACAGTCTCTGCATATGTTAATTTGTGAAAATATACAAACCATCTAGTCAGCTGTCCAGATTCAGTTGAAATACAGTTTATTATCATGATAATGTATGTCAGACTCCAATCAGGATGATATAATGGCAACATTTGAAGGATTAATATGTGCTTTATATTGAAATAGAGGAGATTATGTAAGTTAACTGGTAATCCTTCTTATATTATATGTTTGCATTCCTTTGTATTTAAACATATTTTTTCATTCAAAGTGGTCTATACTTTATATATTTCAAGATTATTCCATTTTGTATATGTTGATATTTATTTAATAAAGATTTGTTTAATATTAATAAGTCTATATGAAAAAATATCTGTAACATGGGCTAGTTACACAAGCATGAGTTTTTCTATGGATGGACTGTCTGTTTTTCATGTTGAAAAAATGCAAGTAGTGAAGCAATATGTCAACCTATAATTAAGTCTATGAATTTGGCCTACAAGATTTTAAGGATTGTTGTTTACAGTATATGGTATGATACAATAAAGTTAACTTAAGGTGAATTTATGGGTATCACTATCATTTCTAAGTATGTGTACATACTGTTGACAGCACTGATAACAGCAGATAACAGCATTTATGTATAGTTTGGTATTCACCATTAATGATGATTAAACATTTTGTAGGAAAGAGATAAGATGAAAGTGTTTGATTGTAATTGGACTATATTGTGTGTTTTTACTGTGAACATTTCTTTAAAGGTATAAACTTTTTTGCCATCTTTAAATCTCTTGAAGAAGAAAAGCACTGACATTAGAAAACTTGAACTTGTTAACACTTAATTAAAACTATTATAATTACACATTGAAAAACTGGAACAAGCTAGGTTGTTTATTTTTAATTATACTTAAATATGGCAAATAACTAGAATTTGATATGAAATATAATGTAAAACATTTGCATTCCATACTCTCTTCTGTTCCTCTTTTTTCTCCCCCTCCCCTTAATTGAGCCCCGCCCACCAAGTGTTTCATTGCCTTTTAATCCCACCCCTTGTTATTCCCATTGGTTCCTTCTTCTGTTAGGTCTTTTTAAAGATTCCTCCTTCCTATAACATTTTTGTTAAGCTTCCATAAATTGAGCCTTATCCACTGAGTTCCTTGTTCTCTTTCACCTTGTCCCACATCACCTCACCTTTTAAGTAATTCCCCCCTTTCCTTTTCCCTTTTCTGTGTTCATTTGATAACCCCTGTTATTGTGGTCATACCCCCCCCCCCCCTGCCCCTTTCCCCTACCCTTATCCTATCATTTATACTTGTAATACTATGAATGTCATTTTTTATCTGACTTCTGATCTGCACATTAATCTTTTTTTCTGATAAGGAGTTCACCTTGTCATGTAAATCCATCATTTTACAATTGAAGTATAGCAAGAGGTCATTAATTAGCTACTCTAATTGTAAGCTTTGATAACATATAAACATATTTATGACATAATGTATGACATTTTAATTCCCTCAACATTCCTTGTAGCCCTTGAGGACTCCTGGCTACTATAAATATTTTGACAAGAGGTTTTTAGATCAGTACAGTGATATTTTGAGATTGCTGTGTTTTTGCAGGCTGGTTGGAAATGTTTACATTTTTGACATCAGTATTCATGTATTGAATGTGAAAACCTAGCATTTTAATAACTAATAGATGCACAGTGTCCTTAATGCCCCATATGGCATTAAAATGTTTCCAGTATATATTGAAGGTTTTTTTTGTGTTTTCTACTTTGAGAATAATGGTATGCATACTTCTAAACATTTTGATATTGGCTTAATTGCATGTTTCAATGATCAAAAATTTATCATTAAGTCAGGGAATAACTGTACCTGGTAAGAGTTGTGAGTTACTTGTACATGTATCTGAAATTCTGCTAACTAGTAGTAGTAGTATCCCTGACCAGATAGCTTATTATATAATAAGATAATTGTAATGTATGACATGATAATTGAAAGCAATAATAGGGGATAATTTATGGCAATCAGGTGATTATATGTACTGTCTGACAGATCATCCATGGTAATTTATAATGACAGTAGAATCATTTATGATGTTTTTAGTGTTGACATTTGTAGTGACATTTGTAAAAAAGAAAATTTATGCAATTTAATGTTCAATATTTAATTCATCACTTTATGTATGTTGTGTTAAACTTGCTTGAGTATAATTGTAAGCTTATATCTTATACCCTATAAAGCCACATAATTCCCAATAGTGTTACATTACTGTTCCTTTTTTTCCTTAAAATTTTCTTCAAATTTCTTTTAAAAAAACCAACATGCACATCATATATTATCACCTCTATAATATCAACAGAAACTAAAAACATTTTTTTATTTTCTTAAACCTTTTGTGGATGAAAACACAAGCAGTGGTGATAAGGCTTTGTGAAAATAAATGTCCTGGCACAGTATAAAAATTTAACCATCTGCCTTAAATATTTGCATAAATGTAGACATATGGTATTAAGTAATTTTGCTATTACATGCATGGAATGTACTTCTTAAGGCCAAATTTTTGTCACAAGTAAAGTTGTTTTAGTGATTTATACAGTAAATTACTTTATTTTCATTCACAGGTCATTTGTATTTAATGGACTTGCAAAGTAATGTAGCCAAATTACAAAAGGTAGTTAATTGGGCAAGTCAGGAACACAATTGACAAGGACTTGCTGAAATTGGATAAATTGATTTGGTAAGTTCCAAGTGGTTTTGTATAAATTACTTTAAGACAGGATTGGAATATAAAACAAGAATTTATCAAAGGCTTAAAGCAATTAACATAGTTTTAAAAAGACAAATAACTTATTTTTTAGCTGCTTTTTTTTCACAAAACACATTTGAAACGCCATATTTTAAAGAGCTTTATTTAAGTATTATCACTACTTGTTACTAATTTAGTAATTATAAATGCTAATAATATAAGATCTAATAATGAAGTATGTTATACCGCATCAATAACATGTCGCTCCAAGGATTTGAACTTATATCTGCATAAATGACAGATGATATGTTTGGCAAGCTTGTACTCCTGTACAATCTAATCTGATTCTGTACTTCTACTTAGCTGCTCAATCTTGACAAAACCATTCATGATTTTTAGGGAGTATTTAACAATATTAACTGACTAAATAGCAAACAGTGCAGACCATAATCAGACTGCATGGATGTATTGGAGAAGCTGAAGTGCTACTTTAAAGACACCTTACCTTTAATCAGTGCTTTACATCGAATACCCTCAGTTTTCTTCAAAACCTTTGTATTTGATTTTTTTTATTCAAACTTTGTACATAAATTGTACTTTTATAGGGAAGATAAATTAGTCTGAAGTCATAAAAAATCTTTATTAATAAGAAAAAAACATATTTACAATGATTTTATCTTTGCATAATTAACAAGTTTTGAAACTCGATCACAGCTGATTTTATCCTATAAATGTTTTGTAAATAGAGTCATTGTTACCTGTGAAAGTTTCACCAGTTTTAATTGATTTTCAAAGAATTTCATTGTGGTTTATATTGACATTCCAATCACAGAACTGTATGTTCATGGAGCGCCAATCATTTATGAAGTGATTGGGTGAAGTTTGTTATCTCCCTAATTTGCTCTTTTAGGGTAGTATTGATCCAGTGTGGGATTTATGTAAATAAATGTGAAAGCTGATTTTATATTTAGAAATACAAATGTAAGAAAAAGCTAATTTCGAAAAACAAATGCAGTTAATGCAAAAGTTAATGCATTGTAAATCTCAATATCTGCCTGCTTGATTCCATAGTGAACAGGTGACGAAGGGATAGTAGGATAGGAGGTATTAGGGATGTATTTAAAGCTACTGTCCCACACATTGTAGCTTTGGCAATTTTGAAATAAAATGTCATCAAAGTTAAAATTTTACAATAAACTGGTTCATTTATATGGAACTTGATGATTAATAAATGTCTTGGTCGAAGAAAAAACATAAATGTAAAGTTTTTGCTATGTTTATGATGCAGTAATTTTAAACTGTTGCAATGTTTTATTTTGTAAAATTTTGACTAAAATTATACACACACCAGTGAACTGATTGCAAGTAGATTCGTTGGTTGCGGGTAGAACAGTTTCGCTTGTTAAGTTTTTTTATCATGCAATTAAACATTTCCATAAAAAATATTCAATAGGTTAAAAGCTGATTGTTTGTGTCACTTATTTACTAGTAATTTAAAGCCTACTGTAAATAATTTAAACAAAACTGAGGTCTTCTTTTCTTCTTATTTCAGTGATTGAAATGAGTGGATTAAATGTGGATTATATGTCAGTGTTATTTGTTTTTATGATATATAAAGGAATTATCTCAAACTGGTAAGTTGTTATTATTTTTGCTTGTTATTGCTTTAGATAAAAAAGTCAGTCATTTTTGATGAAGAGAAAGCTTGGAAAAAAAGAACATTCTTGTTAAATTGATTGGGATTGCTACCCAAGTGTCTGTGATTAAGGTTAAGGTCACTGTTACTAAAAATAGAAATTAAGTTTCAGCTCAATAACTTAAATTTGCTTAGGTCTTTTGACACCAGACTTGGTGTATGGGTAGCGTATATCAAGATGCAGCTTGGGATTGCTACCCAGGTGTCTATGATCATGATCAAGGTCACTGTTGCTGAAAATAGTATTTCAGTTGCCACTTTATAACTTCAGTTTGCTTTGACCTGTTCACGCCAAACTTTGTATCTGGGTAGCTTATATCAAGACGTAGCTTGGGATTGCTACCCAGGTGTCTATGATCATGATCAAGGTCACTGTTGCTGAAAATAGTATTTCAGTTGCCGCTTTATAACTTCAGTTTGCTTTGACCTGTTCACGCCAAACTTTGTATCTGGGTAGCTTATATCAAGACGTAGCTTGGGATTGCTACCCAGGTGTCTATGATCATGGTCAAGGTCACTGTTGCTGAAAATAGTATTTCAGTTGCCACTTTATAACTTCAGTTTGCTTTGACCTGTTCACGCCAAACTTTGTATCTGGGTAGCTTATATCAAGACGTAGCTTGTGATTGCTACCCATTTGTCTATGATCATGGTCAAGGTCACTGTTGCTGAAAATAGTATTTCAGTTGCCGCTTTATAACTTCAGTTTGCTTTGACCTGTTCACGCCAAACTTTGTATCTGTGGGTAGCTTATATCAAGATGCAGCTTGGGATTGCTACCCATGTGTCTATGATCATGGTCAAGGTCACTGTTGCTGAAATTATAAATTAAGTTTCTGCGCAATAACTTCAGTTTGCTTAGACCTATTGTCACAAAACTTAGTATGTCAGTACTCTATATCAAGGGTAGGCATCAACTGTTGCTCAAAATAGAAATTAGGTCTCCGCATAATAACTTGAGTTTGCTTAGACACCAAATTTATTATGTGGGTAGCTTATATCTAGAGGCAACTTGGGATCATATTTCATTCCCAATTCCTGTTACATCAATACTTGGTGGTTAAAAACCTGGGTTTTTTTTTGCATTGCGGTGTTTCTTGTTTACTTTGAATTTCTTGTTTTAACTTTTTGTGCCCCCACTTTAGTGGCGGGCATTTAGATTTACCCTTGTCCGTCCATCCTTCTGTCTGTCCGTTCTCTTTTGTGTCGCACGTAACTCAAAAAGTATTTGACCTAGAGTCATGAAACTTTACAGGAATGTTGATCAGCATGTGCAGTTGAGCACCTGGGTATTTTCGTCTGGATGTTTTTTGTATTGTTTGAGTTATTGCCCTTGACTTAGTAAAATTTTGCAATTTTCAACTTTTGTCGCATGTAACTCAAAAAGTATTTGACCTAAAGTCTTGAAACTTTACAGGAATGTTGATCAGCATGTGTAGTTGTGCACCTGGGTATTTTCATCTGGATATTTCTTTTAGTATTTTTAGAGTTATTGCCCTTGACTTAGTAAAATTTTGCAATTTTCAAATTGTGTCGCATGTAACTCAAAAAGTATTTGACCTAGAGTCATGAAACTTTACAGGAATGTTAATCAGCATGTGTAGTTGTGCACCTGGGTATTGTCATCTGGATATTTTTAGTAGTTTAAGAGTTATTGCCCTTGACTTAGTAAAATTTTTGCAATTTTCAACTTGTGTCGCATGTAACTCAAAAAGCATTTGACCTAGAGTCATGAAACTTTACAGGAATATTGATCAGCATGTGTAGTTGTGCACCTGGGTATTTTCATCTGGATTTATTTAGTATCTTTAGAGTTATTGCCCTTGACTTAGTAAAATTTTGCAATTTTCAACTTGTGTCGCATGTAACTCAAAAAGGATTTGACATAGAGTCATGAAACTTTACAGGAATATTGATCAGCATGTGTAGTTGTGCACCTGGGTATTTTTGTCTGGATTTATTTAGTATTTTTAGAGTAATTGCCCTTGACTTAGAAAATTTTTGCAATTTTCAACTTGTGGCGCATGTAACTCAAAAAAGGATTTGACATAGAGTCATTAAACCTTACGCGAAGGTTGCTCAGCATATTTAGTTTTGCACCTGGGGTTTCGCTTGTGGATTTATCCAGTATTTGTTGAGTTATTTCCCTTGACTTATGAAAAACCGTTTCATTATGTTGTTATGCTTGAGTTAGAATCAACCAACTTTACAGGAATAATGATCAACATCACTAAATTACAGGAATAATGATTCACATCACTGTGAAGCTATGCATCTGGGACTTTGCATGTGGATTTTTTTCAGTTTTGTTAGAGTTATTGCCCTTGACTTACAGTAGTATAAATTTGCAATTTCAACTTGTTCATGCATAGCTCAAAAAGTATTTCACTTGTAGGCCTGAAAGTTTACAAGAATGTTGGTCAGCATGTGTACTTATGCACCTTGGGGTTTGCTTGCAGATTTATTCAGTATTTGTAAGGTTCATGCCCTTTACTTAGTAAGAGATTTTTATTTTTCAAAAAATATTTTACCTAGAGTCATAAGATTGACAGAACAGTGGCGGGGTGGGGGCACCCGTGTCCTATGGACACATTTCTAGTTTGTCAAGATATTTTTTTATCAAAAATATATTCACTTGGAGTACTTGTTCATTATCAAATTTGAAATACATTTCTTAGGGGCAGATAATACTGAAAGCCATTTTTGCTCATTGGTTTCCTTTTTTTACTTAGAATGTTTGCCTTTTTGCTTTTTTTTACAAAACCTGTTACAGGTATTCAAGTGAAAGTTGGAAAATGTGTTTACTGTCAATGGCAGATAAGTCTGCTCATCACTTTTGTAGAATTATGCCCCCTTGTCTTTGTTGCCTTATTTAACTATACAGCACTAAGAAGAGTGGAGTATGTTGACCCCTTTTTGACATTTTTCTTGGTTAACTTTTTGTTGAAGAACATCTCTAAAAAAGTATTAAAGATATTCACTTTTACATGGATTTCTTGTTCACATTCAAATTTGTAATACATTTCTAAGGGGCAGATAATCCTGAAAGCTATTTTTAGCTTATTTCCCTTTTTTGCCTCTTAATATCAAAATCAGATATGTTGCTTTTATTTAACTATCTAGCACTGAGAAAGGAGGAGTGTGCTGTCAGTCTACAGGTGTTGTTTTACTAATTGTTATATTAACAATCATCAAAAAGACAAGTTCACAAAGTAAGAACTTTATGTATGTGCAGTAAAATGTATATACATCTTGTTGCCTGGAAGTTAACGAAATTAAAGTGAAATCTTGCTATAAATCAAGGAGAAAATGAATCACAAACAATTTACAATTCTTATCTATTACTTATCAATATGCTGCAATATTTTATTCTAGAACAAAAAAAAATAAGAACACTTAAATGCACTTATGTTCAGTTCAGTCAGTTCAGAACAAAATCTGTGTAAAGATCCTGCAGACATTTTCACAAAAAAACTTACGACAATTTTGTATCGTAAGAGAAATTTTACGATAAATCTCCTTTTCACAAAAAATCTTAAGCAAAACTTAAATGCAAAATCTATCGTAACTTTACGATAGATGTTCCCCTTTCTTAAGTGTGATACTTTTTCTCTTAAGAGTAAAATATCATGTATCTTTTATTTAAACAGAATAAAAACAAACAAAAATAGACAAATATATATTAATTAGCATACAGTATGTTATAAATAACACAAATTAAGTTAAAATTATTTTTCAACATAACATTTGTGACGTCATGACTTAATGATGTCATGGTGGAGAGGGTTATGAATAGTTTATATGTGAACTCTATTGAATTATTCTTGATAACTAATGTTTTGTACAATTTTGTGGGCAGCATGTACTAGTGGCACTTTTTTTATTTATTAATACCTCAGCAATAACGTAGCAGACTTTTTTTCTGAATCACTTGGATCCATACAATTATTTTCATTCAAGATAGAAAATATATCAGTTTGAATCATTTTTATTTCTTCTTATTGTAACTTGATTGTGTTCAGTACATATTTCAAGCTATTTTTTACTTGATTTTAAAACCGGAAACAAATATAGAGCATGCACATCAATATCAATTGACCGGTTGCTAGGGATGTTTTTATCGTAAGATTTATCGTAAGTGAATTTTTTATCTTAAGATAAAATTTAACTTACATGTGGCTTTGTGAAAATGACTTTAGATTTAACTTACGATTATCGAGTCAAACTGATAAATGTAAGAAAACTTAGGGATTAAATGTAAGATGTTTTTGTGAAAATTGTACCTGCGTTGTAAGTGTTTTGTGATTTATTTATATTGGGCTACAGCGATGTAGAAGTTGTAAGCAGCTACCCACTTGCACAGAAAAATTATTATATGTATATAATTATGCAAATAAAACAATTTTCAAACATCAAAGAATATGTAAAATGTGTACTGAAAATATCTGTGCACATTATATTTAATCAATAAATTACATGCATTCATTTCTTATTGGAAAATTTGACTTAGAATTTATAGAAAATAAATTTTTAATTACCTCCCTTTATTTACATGAAATGTTAAATTGGGTAATATCTTTATAAATCATGCTTATTTGAACTTACAATATTGACAAATCATAATTTGAGCATCATATTTATGAAATAAAACCATGAAAAAATGTGTTTCTGGATCTTTAACCTAACATAAATTGACAAAGATAAAGCCAAGCATACATGCTGACATTAAACTTGATCATTTCTACTTCTGGTATTGATTACCTAGAGTTTTAACAGCTTCATGTAACTTCTAATTGCTTCAAACTATATTCAACCTTAATAAGGCAATATTTCAGAGCAAATTAGTTACTTTAATGAAAAATCTCTCCTAGCTACTAAGTGGTTGTTAGTTGAAAGTTTTTGTTTATAAAACCAAACATGTCTGAATGTTTTTTTCTT